TGCCCACCAAGGCACCCCGTGCCCACCAAGCCATGCCCATAAAACTGGTAGTAAAAATGTTTGAATCCCACCACTGCTCTGCAGGTGGCAATTTTAAAGATTTGCAGCCTCAATATGTCTGAAGCGTACTGCTGCATTTATTTAGGGGTTGACTAGCTTAAACATCCCTTCTAGCATGAAATTATGGTTTGCATTCTCAACTGTATTACTACGTTTTTCAAACCGTCTTTCTGTTTTTCTGATTACAGGAGAATCACTGGGGAAAAATAATTACCATTTGGGAACTGGTGGAATTGCCTTTATAGCTCTTCCAATTCTCTCCATCCAGGCTATAGAAGATGACAAACTGGGAGATGTAATAGTTGGAGAATTTCTGCCGAGCTCCTTGGGTCTTTATTCCATGGATGATCTTGGGTTGGAGCAAGTCCACCTGGAGAAGAAGGACACTCTTTTCTTTTAGAAAACAAAGCTTCTATAAAAGCATCTTTCCTCAACTTCCAGATGTTTGGGATTGCATCTCCCAGAGTTCCAAATTCAACATAGCAATCATGGACTCAAAACACATTGTGAAAAAGACTGTCATGTAGACTATCCATATTGGCAGAGGGAACAAAATGGACCACAGCTAAATATATCAATGGCCTAACCTAGTAAGGGACGTGGTGGCTCAGTGGCTAAGACGCTGAGCTTGTCAGTCAAAAAGGTCGGGAGTTTGGCAATTCGAATCCCTAGTGTCGCGTAATGGAGTGAGCTCTTGTTAATTGTCCCAACTTCTGCCAACCTAGCAGTTCGAAAGCATGTAAAAATGCAAGTAGAAAAATAGAGACCATCTTTGATGGGAAGGTAACAGCGTTCCGTGCGCCTTCACCGTTTAGTCATGCCAGCCACATGACCACGGAGACGTCTTCAGACAGTGCTGGCTCTTCGGCTTTGAAACGGAGTTGAACATCGCCCCCTAGATTTGGGAATGACTAGCACATATGTGCGAGGGGAACCTTTAACCTAGGAAAACATAAGGGGTCCTTGGTACTCCCTGAGCTCGCTTGTTTTCTTGAAGACGTTTCATTACCCAAACTAGGTAACATCATCAGTGCTCTCTGCATCATCACTGCAGCCAGCACTGATGAGGTTACCTAGTTGGGTAAGGAAATGTCTGCAAGAAAACAAGCAAGCTCAGAGGGTGCCAAGGACCCCTCATGTCAATCCTGAAGCTACAAATATTCTCCTTTATTACTACTAAATAGTAGCTACCTGTGTTCACAAAGCAAAAGAGAAAAGTAAGACTGATCATGGCATCTTCAGCTTTTCTGTCTCGGAGGATGAGAAATCCAACAGAATGCATAAGGAAGGGAATGGTTTAGCTTCAGAATTCAAACGCATGGCTTCTCATGCATTGGCCAATGATGAGATGGAACATAAGGTCTTCCAGAAGAGTCTGAGAAGACTGTTTACATAAGGATAAATATCTGGAAACTGTCCATTTGTCCATTAAACAGAAGTGGCACTTCTGGACATTTGTCCATTAAACAGAAGTGGCACTTGACCGTCATTCGTAACGCCACTGATCTCCTTAGGAACTGTTGAGGTCCTACTACCCTCAAAGAACCCACTGTGATATTGGTCCTGGGGTCCCCACCAGGGACTTGCAGTCAGGGGAGGCAGGGGAGGTGGGGCCTCACCAGTGTCATGATGAAAAGAAAAGAAAAATTAAAAGGAAAAAGGCTANCCATCTTTTCTTTGGCCTGCCACACTTTCTATTATTCTGCATTTTCTATTGTGGGAAAATGGGAGAGGGAGTTATAAGGAGACACACACTATGTAGTCACAACAAAATTCTTTCTAGAAAGCCAAGGTCATCCTTTGTCTCTGCATCTCTGCACCTGACCGGAATTGGATAGGTGAAACTGCCAGCATGGGAGATTGGACCATGTGATGGAATTGTGGGTGTGGGGGGCAAGGTCTTGAACTTTCAACTAGGTGGGGAAAACCATGAAGCTTTCAGATTTGGTTTCCCCCAGATGTGCCAACATGGCTCTCTTAATCAATTGGAACTTTGAGCAATACTTTGCCTTGGACTCTTGATTTATTTTTGGATGCTATTTGGAACCCTGACAGCAGATGTCATATGCAATTTTAACATGGATTTGCTGACTCTGACCTGAAATCTTTAAACTTCATGAATTCACACTTCGTAAAAAGCCAGGCTATAGCTTGTTGGGTCAATCATACGATTGGCATATATGAATAAAGAACCAATTCGGTCTTAGGGTTAAGCAGAATTAGGCTAGAAACCAGCAGACTGTGAGTTCTAGCCCCACTTTACGGTTGAAAACTGACTGGGTGACTTTGGGCCAGTCGCTCAGCCCAACCCACCTCACATAGCTGTTGTTATGGTGAAAATAGGAGGAGGAAAGAATGTTAGGTATGCTCACCACCTTGAGTTATTTCTACAAAAGGAATAAAACTGGGTTAATAAACAATGAAACAAATACTTCTGTTGTGGCCCGCCAGCGGCTAGCAGAGCTGGCAGCAGTTTCGGACAATGAAGAGGTTGGGGAGGGCCAGTCCTGGAGTTTGGGGAAGGCTCTTCTGAGGGCTCTGTGTTGGAGGCAGAGAAGGGGCCAGAGCCGTATGCCAGTTATCAGCTGCCTTCAGAGTGAAGCAGATGAACAGCTGGAGCCTGTTCTCAGTGTGCGCATATGCAGAGTTCCCAGATGAAGGGAACAGCTAACGAACAGGGGTTGGCTTGGGAGTAAGGCAACAGGTGGATGGTGAATGGCCCCTCCCATAAGGAATAAAAGAGGAGCGAAAGGGGAGTGGAGTTTGCAGGAGACAATTAGTTCATTCCCGCATTCTTGTCAAGTATTGCAGCATCTGAAAGATATCGGCCTGGCCATTCTTCAAGCCTGATAAAGGTCGACAATTGTGAACTATCGTGAAAGACTGTGGGAGAGGAAAGACTTTGTTGGAGAGGAATTAACTGTAAATTAAATAAAAGGGGTTTATCGGGATGAGGACTCGGCTTCGTGCTGCTGGGGAAGCCCAGGTCAGAACATGTTGCATCTCAAGCTTAACCAAATACGGTTGTAACTGTTTAAAGGTTCCCTCATTACAAGTACAGATCCATCTTTCCCTTAAAAAAATCTACTGGTCACAAAATTAGAATCTTGCTAATAGAAATTAGCTCATTTGTTTTTTTTTTAAAATGCAGACTGAGAGGGAAAAAGAGCAGAAAAGATGCATGACTTATCCATGTGAAACTGACATGTACTGGGGGAAAAAAGACTGATTCAGCAGTCCATATCCTTGTGCATTTTTAAAATAGCTGGACTGATACTATGACACCATTCAGAGGTGGCATTCAGCAGGTTCTGACCAGTTCTGGAGAAAAGGTAGTGGAAAGTTTGAGTAGTTCGGAGAATCGGTAAATACCACCTCTGGCTGGCCCCGCCCCCATCTATTCACTGCCTCCCGATTCCCAGCTGATCTGGAGGAAATGGGGATTTTGCAGTATCCTTCCCCTGCCTCACCCACCAAGCCACACCATGCCCATCAAGCCACAGTCACAGAACCGGTACTAAAAAATGTTTAATCCCATCACTGACACCACTCCTTCCCGCCGGAGCCCTGATTAAAATTCTATCTGTGTCTCTGTTTTTATTTTTAATAGGAGAAATACTGATGCAGTTTGGATCTAGTAAGCCACACTTGTAAACAATGGGATTCCTTTGAAGCGTTTGATGGTGGTTTTTCAAAAGGAGGGGAAAAAATCCATAGTTTAGCTGAGATTTGGCTCCCCTGGTTTTTTTTATTCTACTTTCTTCTTGTTTATTTCTTTGGCTTCTAGTTGGGGATGAGGTGCAGCGTTTGGGATAGGCATTAAATCAAGAACTAGACTACAGTGACTTAAGATCAGCTGGTGTTGGGCAGAAGCGGGAGACAGTCCTGCTGCGATTCTTTTCCATCAAGGGGGATTTGAGTAAATATTTCATCTTCTTTGTCTGTTTATGGCTGATTTATTAGGACATTCCATGCTTGCCCGCAATCTTGAAACCAGCACAATGCATAAACTTGCCATTTCTTGAACGTTAATGATGTTAAAGAGGACTGCATTGTCCCTCATTAAAACATGACACATTATGTTGTCAAACTGTGGCTCCTGGTACAATTCACTCAGATTGCAACACATGTCTGTCCTTGCCACAACCCTTTGCAGCAAGATTCTGCTCTGTAAATATTTTAAGAAAACATGAGTGGAAGGTAGGAAGGAAAGGAAACTGTTCGGGTTGCCAGCTGGTTAAAAAGGCAAACCAAGAAATGGAGTTCAGGAGGAGAGGCAGTTGACAAAGCTAGTCAGATAAAATCGAATTCAATACAAAAAAGCTACCATTGATCATCTCTTTTTAATTTCCTATATGCGGCTATAAAGGTAAAGGTTCCCCTCGCACATATGTGCTAGTCGTTCCCGACTCTAGGGGGTGGTGCTCATTTCTCTTTCAAAGCCAAAGAGCCAGCACTGTCCAAAGACGTCTCCGTGGTTATGTGGCCGGCATGACTAAAAGTTGAAGGCGCATGGAACACTGTTACCTTCCCACCAAAGATGGTTCCTATTTTTCTATTTGCATTTTTACATGCTTTCGAATTGCTAGGTTGGCAGAAGCTGAGACAAGTAATGGGAGCTCACTCCGTTACGTGGCGCTAGGGATTCGAACCGCCGAACTGCTGACCTTTCCGATCGACAAGCTCACCATCTTAGCCACTGAGCCACCCTATATGTGGCTATATATCTGTTATATCTCTCCAATGATTAAAATTACTCCCAATTAATCAACAACCGCTGTACTGATCGGTACATTGATTAAGCCAATTAAATAGGCAAATGAAAATTAAATGTTGTTCCAAAATACACTATAGGTAGTCTTCAACCTACGGAGCCCAAAATGTTTGTTGATAAGTGAGTTTTGCCCCATTTTACGACGTCTTCCGGCACACATTTTTAAAGTGAATCCCTGCAGTTGTTAAATAAGTAACGTGGTTGTTAAGTCAGTAAGGTTTCCCCATTGACTTTGCTGGTCAGAAAGTTGCAGAGGGGAGCACATGACCTGGGGACACAGCAACGGTCATAAATGTGAGTCAATTGCCAAGGGTCTGAATGTAAATCACGTGACCATGGGGATGCTACATTGGTTGTTAAGTGTGAAAAAATCTTTGAACAGTCACCAAACAAACGAATGGTCACTTAAGGACTAGTGTATTGTTATTAACTATTGATCTCAGTGGGGCCTAATCCGGCATAAATATGGAAGATGCTTTGAAGGAATCTGAACCCCTTGAAAAGAGAGGAGCGCTTGGCATACTCGTCCCAAAGGGGCT